ATGTGCAACTGAAATGAGGTGAGGCAAAAAGTTTTAAAATTTTTTATCCTGGATCTCTTTGCGTGTGTGTGTGTAAAGAATTTTGATATCCGGAGTATTGCGAAGCTTTACGTGATTTTTGGTTTGTTCTTGTTTGGCGAGCATCTAATTATTCAGCAACGAATGTGTGTCTCTGCCATTGAGGAATCGTTGGTCTATGCGAGGGTCCAAGCTTCTTATAACTGTGAACCATTTAATTTGATGTTTGTTTTTGAATTTTTCTTCAAGATGGTGAACGCGAGCATTAAAGTATTTTATGGAAACCTTTTTTGACGGTGTTTTTTTCATCTCTCCATTGAATGTTAATGTTCAGACACTTAATTTAATACATGATTTGAGAAATTGGCATGATTTGTGATGCTATCTAAATTTGCCAAGTATGAGGGGCTCAACAAAAGTTTTGCAAGTAAAATGTTCAAATTTTAAAATTGAGCTGATGAACAATTATTTTTGTTTTAAATGAGCCCAGCTTGAAATATTTTGCAGAAGGCACCCTGACAGCTTTCTCTTTTCACTTGAAAAATAAGGTGCCATGTAACAAAATTATTCTGTGTAGATGTTTTTTGTATTCTCCTTCAGAATTCTTGAAATAGAATTAATTTCAGGAGTTGCCTCTAAAATCTTCCAAGGTCATTTTCTGCCACTTGGGAAGAAAATGTGGTGGTTGATAATTAGAGGCAACCCTTGTGGAATTTGTCATGTCAATTTGAAGAACTCTGAAGAAGCAGTGTTCTTTAGTGTTTATACAGTGAACCAGACCAGGAAAAAAATGTGACTTTGGGAGGTTTTGATTTTTGGAGGTTTCCAGTTGAGGAAACAAACACTTTTCTTGTTGGGAGAAAAAAAGTATTAGAAAGCATAAAGAAGGATGTTCTGGGCCTACACTTGCACCTTAATGAGTTTACATCTTGCTTAACTTGGAGGCTGGGGTTCATTTTCTATATTTGTCTTTCAATTCTTTTCAAAATGCATCAAATTATTTATTTTAATGATTTTCTCTTCCATATTTCAAGGAAATAATAACCAGAAGGCCTCAGAAAATTTGACTTACAGAGGTTTTAGAGGAAAAGACTTTTAGTGAGGGAGATTTTTAATGTACTTATTTTAAGGGAATTCAGACAGGGACTTGAAATAAATTTGACTGAGGGAGGTTTGACTTATCAAGGTTCATCTTGACATGAAAATATCTGCAAGATGGCACCTATTTCTTTAGTGAAGAGCAGATAGCGCCAGCTTGATTTTTGCAAAGAATTTCTGCAAAATATGTCAAACAGGGCTGACTTTTTGCGCTTGTGACAAAGAATGTTTTTTAAACAATAATATTTTTTTCAGCTAAATATAGTGCCGTTATAATTTATACTTCTAGAACTTTTGTTCAACCCCTTGCAACTGCCCTAAAAGGAGGAACAATGTTCAATGGGCGTCATTCTAAAGAAAATCAGACAAACCTTTAAAACGCAAAATCTGATGCTGATAAAAAATCTTGGCTCGGTAATTACGGTAATAATTGATCCAAAAAAATAAACAGGGCTGTTTTTTGTATCAAGATTTTTTCATGAAAAATATTCGACAGAGAAATATTCTGCATATGAGAGAATTTGGATCACGTATGGTTCTGTAAAAAAATATCACTTTTCAATATCGTAAATATTTTCATCAATCAAAGTCCGAAAAGTTGCCCAGATGGTTTCTATCCAGATCCTGCGAAGAAAAAACTTGGGTCATTATTATTATGACGGCTCTATTACATCAACATAAATAATTATTCAACATTATTCCTCTACATGTATACAGTGGGGCCCCAAGATGCAGACATAATTGGTTCATGGACTTTGTTGGATCGTACACATGTTGGATCACATTTTCCTCAATACAGTGGACCCTTTGTTAATGGACTTAATTGGTTCCAGACAAATGTATGTTAACCAAATTTGATTTTCCTACAGACTTCAATGGGGAAGAATTTAATCCTTTCTGTGATCCATAAAAAAATGAACATAGGAGTATAAAAAAATTCAAGACCACGAACTAAGATTGAAATAAGTTGTTGCTGCATCTTATGTGAGCCCATAATGTTTTTTCAGTAGTGTTATATATAAATAGCATTGATGAAAACAAAGATCTTATCCTTATACTGTATTCTTATCCAGAGTAACAGTAACTGTAGGATACATGTCAGGTGAACATTTATTTTTTATTGCTTCAAGGAAAGATCGAATAGACCTTTTTAACTATTGATGAACTAAAAAAAACAAGAATAGAAAAGCATACATGAATACTGTAGCCAAAACAAATTTTAAAACACAAGATTACACAGATTAGAGTTCCAGAATGGAATAAATTTCATATCACTGCACAGGTGAATTCTTTGCATTTACATTGTGCCATGAATTCCAACCCTAAAATCAAATTTGGTATTTTCAAATTTGGGATTTTTCCAAGAAAAAAGTTCCTCAACCAAACTTTGGTTTGTTAACTGAGGGATTTTTCCTCAAAACCAAAAGTTTGTTAACCAATGGTCCACTGTACACTTCAATGTAAAAATATTCAATTGGCACTGATGTTTACAGTATTAAACATTAGGATTATAATTCCCCCAAAATATTAAAGAAAATTTGTTTCTCAACTCAAAGATGCAGAAAACAATTGTGCAAAAGACAGCCACATTGAATCTTATTTCAGTGATTTTTCATCAAAAGGAGCAACAACAACAAAAACAGATTATGAAGAAAAAAATTCTGAATAAATTAGCACAAAATCAGTCTTTGATGATTATGAATTAGGGTAAAAACATTATATAAGGAATGTACAGTATTCTCAAATTATGTGAATATAAATGGCTCAATTTGTTCAAGAGATATAAAAATTTAAAAATAAGAAAAATTTTCACTTTTTTTTTTGGTAAAATGTGGGCAAAGTGTCCCTAATATATCTCAAGCTATTATTGTCCCAAACTCGGATTAGATTTTGTCAAGTCCTGACTATCCTGAGTATCCCGAAGTCTAATTGTTTGTATGTGAGGGTGTCCGCATGTCGGGGTCTCACTCTAATCATAATGAAATCAAGAGACAAACAACAAACTCACATCAAAATGGGATGGAAATTTCTGGTCCCATGTCAAGTGATCCACAAAATTATTCCGCGTGTTGAAACCATGTTCCAGCAGGGGATCCAAGGGGAAACTCGAGGCCAACATAATATCGTCATCCCTTCAAAATATCCATTTTGGAAACTCAAATTATAAAAAAGAATACAATAAAATACTGTAAGTACTGTATGTGAAATCAACTCACGATGAGGGATCATATGCGAATTTTCTCCCAGAGAAATGTGACAATGAGTCGGTACCTTTGAGATCCAATAGGTCTTCATTATTCAGTTTTTGGTCTCCAGAATTGAAATTGCTGATTGCAACATTTTCTGGGAGTATTTCCTTTCCAGCATTTTCACCTGCAGCTTCCTCTTTCTCAGCTTTCCCCCTATTTGATGAGAGAGGAAATAATGCAAGTCAATATATACATTCACATGATAATTTTGTTACAACAGAGCACTTGGGACCAGCAGTGGAATACTGTACCTTCACTGTGACCAAAATCTTATAAATTGACTTCTACAGTAAAATCTTGTTACAACAAATTTCAACATGAACTTTTATTTTCTTACAACAAACTTTACAATATGTCAGTATAACAAACTTTACAATATGTCAGTATAACAAACTTTACAATATGTCAGTATAACAAACTTTACAATATGTCAGTATAACAAACTTTACAATATGTCAGTATAACAAACTTTACAATATGTCAGTAAAACAAACTTTTTGAAGGAACACATTGTGATTTTCCTAATAAAAAATCCCTAATGAAGGCAGGCATGGTCTCAAATTTCCCATTCAAAATATGATCTGTTACAGTTTTATTGAAATACAAATGGAAGTTAGAATCAAAACCAAAAATTCTTCAAAATTCAGAAGAACATCTTCTCTTTCAAAGATTTTGATTGGTTTTAGGGAGGAGTTAGATGGAAAAAATGAACTCACAAAAACTCATGTTAAGAGGGGTTCAGAACATTTTAAAATTTGGATGCTTGAGAAACACTACTGCTGATGCTCAACAACTAAGCGTTTTTGGAAAATATCCAAACTGTGCAGGAATTGACCAGAGAAACCTTTAAAAGTTCACAAAAATTGCTGGTGTTCATCACTTGTCATTTAGAGTAAATGTTGTAGTCATTTTCAACAAATGTTTTTTCAAGATCACAGATTTTTCAAGCATGAAAAAATAACTGAAAAGGCCAGAAGAAGAAGATTTTTGAATACATGTGGGTTCAATTTGAAACAATCTTCCCAATCAATAATTTTGAAAATCTCATTAAAAACAAATTATTTGTCAAAACAAACTTTTCTGAAGCTCACAGAAGATATTTTACTCTATAAAATTATTGCTATGTATAGGGCAGAGACCAAATAATCACTTTTCTTGCAATCAATTACATATAGTACTTTAATATAAAATGTGAGTCAATTCAAATTTCCTTTCTTTTCTTCAGGGAAGTGCTGAGCAATTAAAAAGTTCTTTTCCCCTTCACACTAATACATCATTCATTTTCTCATCCCAAATCAGTATCATACCAGTGATCACATTAAAACCAATTGTACAAATCTTTGATGTGAAAAGTCCAAGTCCAGTACTGAATACTTAGTTTTAAAATTTTGAAATTGTGTTGTGTTTCATTGAATTTTGTGTGAAAATTGTCATTTGTGTGTTGAGAGTACAAAGAAATAAGGTCAGCGCTCTTGGGGAGAAAAATTCCTGGTGGGTTTGCGCACCAACCAAGTACTGAGCTTCAATTCTAACTCAATTTTCTTCTCTTTGTATTTCAGTGGATAAATTGACAAACAAATCAAGGTGTAGGGTTTGAAAAAAAATCCACACCCAATTACAAAATAAATTTTCAACTCACCCCGAATTCTTCAGCACATCTGCGTCAGCCTTCTGCAGGACCTGGATGGCCCCCAAGATGGATTTGACATCAGCAAAAAATTGTTTGACAGTCGGGGACTCGATGGAAAGCGAAGTGGGCCCATCAGCAGTGATGGTGGATTCATCAATGTGCGACTTGCAGTGCATCATGGTGGCGGCCGTGGCGTCGGAATCCGTGACCTCGTCTGGGTCACTCTTATTATTGAAGCCAGGAGCAGCAGCAGCAGCTCTGTGTTGCTTCAGTTTCTGGCTCAGGATGGCAGCAATCTCTCCAAGTCTGAGTTTCCAGACTGTAAATATATACATATTGAAAAGAAAATTATTTTTTTGTAAGATTTTCCCGCTGAAATTTTGGTACATAATTAAATATAAAGTGAAGAAGCAAGTTGTGTGAATATTTCCAATGTAAAGCTGACAAGAAAAAGGTCCATATTATGTTTTGAATTGAATGAAGATTGTGCAAGGGTTGGTTCATGCATAAGTTTTGGGACTTCTTGGGATAGTTCCAACAAAAACTTTTTTCTTTCACTTGCATAGCCTCATCATTTGGGAACCCTTCTATTGCAGGTCAACTAGATGTCACCTTCTGACACAGCATTCAACTTGGGCCAACTAGATGTCACTTGATCAAAAGGAAATAACAGGAGGCACACATTGGCCTTGAACAAAACTTTCCACTGAGGAGGACCTGAACATGCCCAAAACCACCAGGAAAACTGGAGAAGGACTCACTTGTCATCTTAACTCAGAAGAGAACAGGCCTACATTTAACTGCATGCAAATATTGTTTGAACTTGTTTGAAAGGAAACACAAACCAATGTCAAGGCATTTGAAAACCTCAGGCCAAAAATGGCCAATATTGTGTCTACCTTTCTTTTGCCTCTGCAAAAGAAAACCCTTATCTCTTTGTCAGAGAGGCCCCAGAGCGACTGACATCTTAAGTGCTATTTCAACACAGTCTCTACCAATTTGATGGCATTTTTTAATGCGCTAAATCCAACAATCCAAAAATTGCCAAAATTTCCAAGTGCCAAAATTGGGTTTCATTAGTTGATTAAGCTGCTCTTTATTGGCAGAAATGAGACTGTCCCTGTCCTCAAAATCAATCCCTTTCAGGTCATTCTTCACTGTAAAGAACAGCCAGAAGAAGTCACAGGGATGTCTATATAATCAACTAACAGAGCAAAAGTTTTGGCACTGTTTTGATCATTGGATTTATTGCATGAAAAAATGCATTGAAATCAGCGCAGAGCATGGTGAAACAGCACCAAAGTGTTGCCAAATGATGAGGCTGTAAGAGTACAAAATATATTTTGGAATTCTTGAAACTCTGTTGCATCTATTTCAAAAAAAGGTCTCAAAATTCATGAAACAATCCTTGTATATTGACAGCATTGAAGAATAATAACACACAACTGCCAGAGACATCTAGCAAGGCTCAAAAATCAAAATTTGCACAAGCTTGCATTAAAATCCATGGAAAAAAAATCCCCCATGTTGGGAAGACTTTTAAAATTTTCATGTGCCACTATATAGCTGAAAAAAGGTTTAAGCAAAAGGAGATGGTTTTGGCAGAACTCAAGAATATATAAAATTCAACTGTTACAGAAATCTGGCAGATTTTTATTTTGTTCCCTGCTGTAAACGTTATCTGCAACAATGAATGTAAAATTAGTTAACAAATATTTTACTGCAAGTAAAAGTGAAGAGGAAACAAAACAAAAAAATAAACCTGCGCAGGTCTTCTTCTTCCAGGCATTCTTTTCAGCTTCCAGACGTCTTTCAAAAGAATCTTGCTCAGCAGATATTCTTTCAGCAACCTTGGCCTGGAGATAATCCCTGAGGGTGTCCAGAAGCTTCCCATTGCCAGGATTCAGGTTGGACTGCTTGAACTCTGCCAATAATTCCTCCCGCATCTTTTCCTTCTCTTGTAGTAATTTTTTGGTAATTCTTCCAACAAAACAGATTTTTGAAAAATTATGCAGAGAAAACAATGAACAAAGTTTCATGAAAAGTTGGAGTCTTTTGCTTCCGCTTTTTCTCAGTCAGCTAAAAATGTGTGACTGAAAATTTTGATTTTTTTTAATTCTCAGATATGCCTGAAATTCCTGTGTCAAAATAAGAATAAAATATTTGCATTGATGACTTGGGTATGAAGTGTTTTTTCTGTCATACATATCAAGTCCTATAACTCTTGCTGAGAGCATGTAGATCATTCAAAGTCTCAAAGTTATATTTATTTATCTGAAAAAGAGAGGGTTAAAATTCTACACTCTGCAACATCATAAACAGAACTTTCTTCCTCTGTATAAGAAACAGCATCTGAGCAACTTGAAACAATATTTAAATGCATTTAGTCACAGTCTAAATCAAAGAACACTTGAGATAATGAAGTTATTAATGCTCCAGCATAAAACAGTACATGGAAGAAAAAACATAATCTTTATCATACTTTTGATTAAAGATACAAAAACATAAATTCTCAAAGAAAGATACATGATTCATTGACCCAATTTCGGTTTGAAAACTGACAGCTGTTTCCCAATGGGCTAAAGTTTGCTTGGTAGGTGCTGTTAACAGCATATACAGGGTGGACCAAAAAAGTGAACCATTTTTAGACTCAAACAGCTTTTTTAGCAAATTGAGCTGTGGAAATGAATTCAACACCAAATGAAAGCTTGTTCAATCCTCTTTAAAATGTAATGTAGTTCTCTGTTCTCAAGTGCCATGGCATGGTTACAAGAACCATTTGAATGAAAACTTGGAAAAAGAAATTTGCAAGACAACTCCTATGACTAAGCTGCTGTTCTCCAGAGCTGTTTTTAGGGATACATGACATGAAAACCAGTAATTCAACCAGAAAACTTCAGGCTGCCTTCAAGAGGGTAGTGATAAGTTCAAAAATAATTGAACAAATGGAATTGTTGCTCCACTCCTAAATCCTGATTCAAGCTTGATCGGTGCCAGCCTCATGGCTCCTAGGTATGAATCCCTGTCTCAAAAATGGTTCACTTTTTTTTAGCAAACTCTATATAGATCTCAAAATGTTGAAATGACCACTAGAAAAAATCCATTTATTGCAAAGGTACAATAATACTGTCATGGGCAAGATTAGCATACCTCTTGTTCACTTCCACTCCAATAGTCTTTGCCAAATGACTCAGCCTTTCACGTTCCCTGCGCTTCTGCTCCTCTTCAGAGAGTTTTACAACAGACTCGGGAAACTGTTTCTCCATATTTTCAGTGGCCATGTGAACAATTTCATCAATTGGGGAATTCCTGTCAAAGGGCCAAGAGCCTGACTGGGAATTCCTGACAGTTATCAGGATCTCCAGCAATGACATGC